TTTCATTATAGGTAATTTCAAGCAACTGCATCTGCAACTTGGCTGTTAATTGTGATCTCTACTTGTGTTTTGTTTTCTTACTTGAGTCATTTTGTGTGCCTTTGTTTTTATCTCAGTGAGGAGACAGATCATGTTCCTTACTACTTGTTTTTAACACTGTCACCATTCATTGCACTCCTTTGATAGCTGAAATCAAAAGCATTATATGTACATCCGAGACTAGTTATGAGGCACCCAGACATGGAAATTCCAGCTTTCTGCACTTTTTCAACACTTTCTATAGATTTTGTAGTGGTAAATACTATGAACTTGTTGAAAAAGTGGGGACAAAACCTTGTGTCTCTGAGTCTGGCCAGAGGAAAGTCACTTGTGTCTCCTGCAGTTGTCAGTGTTGTAGTTGGTTATTCAAAGGCTGCACCAGAGGCAGGGAAGTTTCTGTATCTTCCAGACTCCATGAAAGACAGTCATGTCATTATTAGAATTAGAAAGGGGAGTGAATATAAAAAAAGACTTGCTACAAACTACATACTAAGACATTTTTCTTCTTTGAGGTAAACCTTCCATACTCTGTCTTCTAAACTGTTTTACTATACAGCCTTCTTTTGTGTAAGAAGATTCACAGTCTTTGTGTTTGTGCAGAATCTTGCACAGAAAACCCTGGTCTGTGATTAAGACTCATTTGTAGCATATTAGTGTTATTCCCATTAACAGTTTAGACAAGTATTATCACCTAATGCACAGTGCGTTGTACTGGTATTCATGATTGGGATCTTTCCTTGATTCTGTTATTGCTGACCTGCTGTATAATCTTGGGCAAGCCAGTGGACCTCGCTGTTTCACTGTTTCTACATTCCCTTTCTCTTTCTCCAGCTTGATTTATGTTAGTAAATAAACTATTTTCTTACTGTTTCTGCAATGTGCGGCAAAAATTAGTCTAAGATCTTGACTGGGTCTTTTATGCTTTGCTATACTTTACCAGACAAAGATATTTGAAAGAAGTGCACAGAATTTAATCCTAGTTTACTTGCATTTAAAAGTAGTGGTCCCTGTACAACTAAATTCCAAGCTTCCAAAATTTTGGGGAAGGAGAAGCAGCCTGTCGTATCAAACTGACCTATGACCAGAATTGTGCAAAATATTTGCAAATAACCCTTATAAAATTTCTCTAGCTTTAATATTTGTCACAAATATTATGCTCCAACTATGCTTTTTATAAAGACTGGTCATGAATCATTTTTGTGAATGTGATTTCAGGAAATACATTGTTTGGTTAAGAAAAGGTACCTTGTCCTGATGCCCTTATATTCAGTGAATAACTGAAACACACAGGTAAAACTTGTGGGCCAGTTTTAAGGGCTGGAATTTCAACTTCGTTACGATCTTGCTGTAACAGCTTAAAAAATGTTAATGCATAGTGCTCTTAATGCTGGTGCAAATCTTGCAGTCTTTGCCTATTTCCTGACGAGTTGAATTGTTAACATATGTGTATGTATTTATTTTACATACCTTTTAGGGACAATGCATATTTTAAAATAATCATATCAAGCAATTTGTTTATGTCAAATGCTTCAATCAATGAAATAAGAAGGTATAAAATATTTTGAACTCCTATAACTGCAGCAAATTCAAAACAGAAATGGAGCAAAATTGTCAGCCCTGTGTTTGTATAAGAATTCAGGACAGATTTGGCCATAGAATAATCCAAATGGGAATTTCATCTACTTCTTTGGTTATTTATGCTTCCATACACTGTGCTTTAATTTTGCCTTTGACTTTGTAAGAGATACTGATTGGGAATGCTGACTTAGGAGTTCTCCCATTTGCAAGACTGTAGAGAATAAAGACCAGCATAGAGTATGCAGTTGGATTTGTCTCTAAACCGCAAAAGATGAAGAATACAGATATTCATATAATCATATTTTCCTATAAACAGTAAAAGATGGTGAAAGGTATGCAAGTAACTTCTATTTTCTCCCAAGCAGATGTTAGTACATGCCTGGTAACATACACACCAGAAGATAGAATCTCATGGAGAAAACTGCATATCTGCTTGAGCCACGTGCAATAATGGTAAGTCATAAGGCAAACAGGAGTAAAAACCTCTGAATGTGATTCTGCATTGTTTCTTTCATGAAAGTACCAAACCAGGCTGCAGATAAATGTGACTGGGTTGGCTTCACCTTTTATAGTTTATTTTCCCAAGAGTCTGTGAATAACCATCAGAACTGTTTACCTGTATAGCAGAAGTCTTCAGTTTCTCAATTTATCTTTCACTTACGTAACAGCCCATAGCTTCTGTAATTATTGCTTTGGTTTTATTGTTCTAATTTCTTTGAAATTCATAAAATTTGCAAAGGAATGTAATCATCCCCAGCCTATTTCTAATACCTCAGAGGCCATATGTTCTGATATTGTCATAACCAGTTATATTGAGCGCACTTACGTAAATACAAAAGGAAACCCAGAACATCATATCTGGGAGACACTGTCATGCCTGCAAACAGCAAAAATATTTATTCAGATAATTTACAATTGGAAGAAGCAATTATATTATCAGCGTGCAAGACCCTGGAGGAATGTTTCTGAGGTTAGTTAAGAGGCATCTGCTTTGCTTTGCTAAACAAAATACAAGAAATAAGAGATTTGGCTCATGGATGCCAAGGGTCGTTTTAAGACTGACTTGAGAAGCGTAAGACTTTTGTCCAATGAATTATCCTATAATGTGTAAAAAGAGGAAACCAATAGTGCCTATAAAATTGCACAGTAGTATACCTGTAAAGGTTATAGTTCGTTATTATTTAGATGTTCAATAATACCTGTATATTTACTTGAGTATGAGAGTTCTGCAGCAAATGTAAGAGCACCTTTTTTTAAAAAAACAATTTGTACACTAAATGAGGTATTGTTCAGTGTAGAAAACAGTTTTTCCACAGTTTTTAGCAATAAACTGGGAAATTTCTTTTAATCCCATGAAAAAAGACATAGTCCTGTTGTAATTAATGATTTTTTAAAAAGAATGAAATCTGTCATTTGTGAATTGCATTGAGTTTTCTCAATGAAATGATCATTCCCTGCCTGACTAAAGAAGTTTAAAATGTTATTTACCTTGAAGATTACCATCTCTACTTCAAAGGGAAACTCTAAGAATAATCCACTTAATATTGCAAGGCACTTGTATGATAATAAGACAAATCTTACAGATAGATAAGATTTCTCTTTGCCAAAAGCCTTTATATAATAAAGGAAATCATTGTTATGAGAAAAGGGCATAAAAAAGGATAAAAAGCTCCAAAAAATCTAAAAGAAAAAAAATATCAAAAAGAAGGGTATTGTTTCAATCCAGAGATGGAAGATTCTTTTCAGAATAGAATTAGTTGGAAACTCATTGTTGTGGTATTCCACAAAATCTCTACTGAGAGCTGGTGATACACAGCAAATGAGCCTGTTTTATCACAAGGCCAGCTCCTTGTAACACCTGTGACTCTCTGAGGTGGATTTGCTGAACAAAGTGTTTCTACTTAGAATTTTGAAAATAAATTCAAATCCTTGTATCAGATGATCTACCTAATTTCCTGTTTTACCTTGGGCTCTCTCAGAGAACCAATATGGATGGAGAGTTACAAGGAACTGAGCAGGTAATTTCTCCTGCAATAACTCATCCTACAAAATGGAGCAGCGGTGCCAGTCTCAGCTGACACTGAAGAAGGGTAAATGTCTCTCCTTTTCTATTTTAATGGTTTTTCTATCAGTGTCCAGCCAACCTGGGGAGTTCTGCAGGTGAAAGGGACAAGAAGACAGCAAAGAGATATGACATGTAACAGAATTATGCACTGGTTGGGAATAAAACCTGCCCTTGTTTCCCCTACAAGATTTATATATTTCTCTCCAGTTTCAGTGTGCATTAAGCTTTCAGTATCCATATAACACGTGTGTATAGAAACAAGCTTTACTTTCTCCTTGAAATATGTGAAGGCAAATGATTTTGTAACTGTGAATACCCTAGTTTTCTGCTGTGGTATTAACAGCTTATATACACACATACTATCTTTGTTATCTGTGAAGATGGGGTCTATGCTTATTTGCATTTGTAAGAGGAGGTCTTAATATTAAAATATTTGAAAATCAATGAAATAGAGAACAGCTTATTGTCTCTGGATCCTCTGACAATTAAGGTAGTGTATTAAGTGTTTAGATCCTAGGACTTCCAAATGGGAGGCTTTGATTAAGTTCTCCAAGCTGTATTACTGATTTGCTGGTAGACCAGAGTCCATGCTTTCTTTTCTTCAGATAATTAATAGGGTAAATACATCACAGATACATCCTGAACATTCATAAAAAATCTGAGAGCTCTTCCATGAAACTTAGGTGGAATGACAAGGCATAAATCATCAAAAGAAATTAATTATTACATCTCTAGCTCAAGGAAAAACTCAGTAAAGAGGACTTGAAGCTTAATAAAGTTGCTGACCAGAAGACAGGAAACCAGAACAGATGGAATGAAGTTTCTTCCAAACTATCCAATCTATCCCATCTATCACCTATTTTTTTCTAATCTGTTGCTAAAAGATTAGGAGGTAGACAGATGTTTTACAGATCTGGGTTTGCAGGCATGGATTATTGCCCACGATCAATAGTTTAAACTTTCTTGGGTCTTGGAACTATTTTTCTGAGATACATTATCTTTGATAACAATAGGACATTGTGGAGGAAATGTCTGTTCAGAAAGTAAGAGGAGAAAGTGGAGTAGAGTCAGCTTCACAGCAGCTACATATAGTAACTTGTACAGTTAGATCATCTTGGAATTGGGAAAAGCATCTTCTGGTTTCTTTGCATAGTAATTTAAACCTTTTGTCACATTGTCTCTAAAACAGCAGTAGTAAAGGTATCACTTTCTGCAGGTTATAACACTTCTAGGACATGGAATGTTCATTTTTTATGATTTGGTGTGTGCATCTTTATCAAATTATTTAAAAGAACAAAAAAACTGTTTCTTTTTTTACCTGTGACTAAACTGGATACAATTAGTGGCAGAACCAGCATTTGCAGCATTCTCATGAGTAGTTCTCCTGGAAATGAAAAGTACTTGACTTCCCGATAGCTCATCTTGTATGATCGGAGAGAAAATCCAAGGATTACACCTGAAGAGAGGGAAAAAATATCATGACTTACTCTTCTAAAGTAATAGTAACATCTGAACATGAATATCTGTATAGTATTTATTTGACCTATCTGATTGTAACATGCAGTTTTTACTATGCCCCCGATTGCACTCCTGATTTGCTCTCTCAAATATCAACTACTATTATGAGTAGTCCTACTGATGCCATTAAATTATTCTTCACTGTAACAGATTCAGAAGGTTATTCGTGCTGCTGTTTTTTGAAATCTGGATTAATGTAAAAGGTACATCTTGAGCATAAATGAAAAGGAAACAGTCCCTGCTACTGCAGCCAAGTGCTTTGACTTCTGGGATTTTGAGTGTAATCATATATGCAATGCATATACATACTAGCTACCAACCTTCAGAAGTCTTGTCCATGCCTGTTTACTCTGTGGGGCCTGATCCTGTAGATTTGCTTCAGACTGGATGAGATAACCAGGATAGACGTTATTTGAGAATCCCCTTGTGCTTAGGTCTTTACACAGCAAAACAGCATCAGGAAGTAAATAGCTTTACACAGACCTACCTTCAGAAACACAGGCACTTGCGAAGAAGCAGCTAATCAGGGTTGGAAGGTCTTACTGGATGATTAAGTGGTAGGTTTCAATGCCTGAGGGAGTGGGGTAAGGGAGTGCCTGGATCCATTTATCTTGCTGGGAACAGATAAATAGTGCTTGAGATACATTTACAAATGGAAGCCATAGACGGGCTGATGTAGCAACCTAAACTTCTCAGCTAGAACTTCATAGATTTTGTCCTGTACTTGGCACCAACTGCTTTAGTTGCTTATTTGGTTAATTATTTGGTTAATTGACACAACTAGTTACAATTTACTGAATGTTAAATGGTTTGGTGCCTATCTGATGTAGGTTTTCTATATCCAATCAGGATCTGGAACACTCCTTAACCATACGCATGGTGAAACTCAGCTATGCCTCCTCCCCGTTCCTGACTCCATGTTCTTCCCCACTGTCTAGTACTGGCATTTGTGCTAATTGTGGCTGTATAGAAAGTTGGATCAGAGAATTGATCCTGCTGCAAATAGAATTTATTTTACTGGGTTAATTTTCAGCCAGGCCAATTCCTTGAGGTAATTTGTTTGTATGGCTGCACAAGTGTCAGTACCTTCACAAGGGAATAGGTAGAAATGTGCCTTGGAGAAGAGTGGGACTGCCCTTTCTGGCATATAGGCAGACTTAGGTTTTCTAAAACTTTTCACGGAACTGCTTCCTTAGTGATGTTAGGCAGCAGAGCATTCAAGCTCACTTCTAGATTGTGTTATAACTTGGGTACATCCTGAAAATGCCATAACATTGAACACTTTTGGAAACTGCTAGTTCCAATTCTTAACCACTTTGTGGTTTTGTTTTTTTTTTAATCAGATTTTAGATTGGTACATCCATACAGCAGATAATATCTTCATGCCAAATTTTACTAGCTAAAATATGCTGTTATGCCTCCTACACTAGCTTATTGCCATCTGCTGATGTAAGGAAACAGCTATAACTCTCATGTTAGTGACCCCTGTCTATCTGATCATGCTGTTAGGGACTTCATCAGGTTGGTTAAGTTAGAGGAGTCCAGAAATGTCTTGTGTAGGTCAGAAAATCTCAGTGTTACAGGATGGCAAAAAAGTGATTAGAGCACAATTGGAACCAAGCATGGAGTTCACGCTATGGAAGAGAGCGGTGGGACTAGAAGGCATTTGTTTTAGTCTATTCATGTTCTATAGACTCAGGTAGTCAAAGTGCATTTTGCATAAATTATTTTTTTAGGTAAAAGTAGATCATAAACTGCATAGAGGAAGAGCCTCTGAATTATTCTTGATTAAAAGACCTGCTGTAGAGTTTCCCTTCTTTTCAATAAGATTTTAAATTCCACTGCAGTGTTACTGATTATTTTCTTTTTATATGGGAAACACATTTCTCAGATATAAAGAATCCATCTGGACCCTTTGTTTCTGCACTTAATGAGCACTACATTTTGACAACTGGATAACAAGCAAATAGAGCTAGACCAGTTTCTTACTTAGGCCACAGTCCTGCAATTAGTTCCACATGAATTAATCTCTGCACTAGTAGAAAGCCTCACTGAAGTTAGTAAGGGTTTCTGGGGCTGCTATAAGAACTAGTCCTTACGCTATACTATAAAGGCTTGATTATCTGGTCCACTACTGTCCAAGCAGTACAAAGTGGCCTGAGAGAGAATCAGGGCCTGAGTAGATGGCTGTTTGAATGAATATTATTGGTAGTGAGAGTAAGTTTCTGAAGCTCCATGTAAACCTGTTGAGCCAAAAATTACTGTTTTTTTGGTCCTAAAGTGCTCTGTGCATAATTACAGGGTTGCCCAGCACTGCAATTTACAAAAATAATTTCTGCAACGTGGAAAAAATGTGCCCTGGTAGCGTATTCTGGTGAACTGGGTCAACACCCAATAGTTACTAATTCTTCAGCCTTAATATTAACACTGCTATTAATTTATATGCAGTCATGCCTAAGCCATAAGAACCTTTCTCTGACTCAGTTTCCCTGCTTGTAAAATAGGTATAGTAGTAGTTGCTTCACAGATGTTTCTGAAAATTGTGTTAACATAGTGATCTTAGCAGTGCAAGAAGGAATTTAAGAAATTATTTCCTCGTTGTCGTCTGTGGTAATGAAAACAGAACAGCATGATTTCACCAGTCTCTCTTGATTTTAGAATACATGGAGATTAAACTATTTTCTGTTCTGAGTTTAAATACCTAGATACTGGGTATTACATCCTGTCTGACAAAGTTTTACTAACAAAAATTATGAACTTGAAAGAGAAAAGTCAAACTTGGCAAGGTAGCTTTCACTTCTTTGAATTCACTTCTCAGAACCAACATTCACAGGTTTTAAATAGTGAGATAACAGCATACAATGATGATTTAAAGATAGACACAATGACAAAGTATCAAAATAAAATCAGGAAGTAAGACCTGGTAGGAGGTACTAAACCTTTGGAAAATGTGCGGTATTTCAACAACCGTCCACATCTGTGTGTGTGGTAAGAGTTGTAGTGCTTAGTACCCTCCATGATCAAGCCTGAGAAGATTAAATACTGGAGCTGGCCTTTCTCAGAAAAAGTTTCAACTTTCTGATTAATTCTGAAAATTGTAATGAAACAAAGCCTTGTGTGAAACAAGCTCCCACAACCTGTTGTGCAGGTTTCTGTCTACCCTTTGTAACAGAAAAGAACAACTAATCAACGCTATCAGAGCCTGACTTCTCAAATGGTAAATGGTGTACCATTTCTGCACTGCAGGGAAGAGTAGATTTCTCGACAGAATTTGTTAGGCTTTTTCTGGACAAAAATCAGTAGTGCTTGTTTAAGTTAAGGAGCTGAATTCTATACATGTGTATAGTTCTATAACAGAACCATATTGCTGAATGTTCATAATGAAGAAGCAAATCAGATTAGAGTTATAAAAAGATTTTTGAGGTGTTCTTGTCAGTGATATAGTCAAATTTATGGAAAACTTGATTTGCAGATAATCCTGATGACAATCAGAACAATCCTTGAACTAAACCATTTTATTGCATTTTTATACAAATGTAGATGTTAAAAATAAAATTCAATCTGTATGAATACAGTGAAGAGAGGATTTAAAACCTGAAAGGAGCAGAAGGTGAAAATAATTCTGGCAGTGATGGGAATGGGATGGAAATGGCAAAAATGGCAGATATGATTTGGGACTGCTTATTCCTAAGATAGGAAGACATTGATGAATGACCTAAAGTTTTCACTTCTAGGCTGCAGTACTAGAAAGGAAATAATAAAGTCTTCATGTCAGGCTTTAAAAACTATGGGTATACCTGTAATTGCTAAGAAACAGACAACAGTCTGTATAAAATTTCTTAAATGGATTAACATGAAAGTGTGATGAAGTGAGCATTAAAATCAGGATCTGAAGTAGCAAAACAAAAGTTAATACTTTTGTAATACTGTTTTTTTAGAAACAGATTTGTTATGGAGATGATTCTTCTTTTTTGTTTGATAGGTTTTTTTAAAAAAAATTGTTGTAGTAATCTACCAGAGTATCATCAACTTATATATAATTTCCTAAATTGAATTTGAAAATGAACTTTAAAATCCTCCATGGAGAAAATGAAGTTCTTAATTGTATTACAAAATGCCTTGGTCTCACAATGGTAGAAAGCTGTTTCACATGATTCTTTGTGTTGCATAGATGAAATAGGTTGCACACCTACACATTGGTTTAAACACCACATCAGTAAAAAAAAAGAACTATAACTCTTAGAAGATGAGAGATGGGGCTTTACTCAGATCTAAACGCTCAGTCAAGAACTTTAGGGAAGCTTAAGTCTATCCTTCTCCTTGGCCTACTTAGAATAATTAGATATAAAAATTTAATAAAGAGAGAGGATTATTTTTTTCACTACTTCAAATAATTCATAATTTTAAAAGAATAAGGAATTTTCTAATTGGCATGATGTTTTTTAAGTGAACAATAGCAGTGGTTTTGTTAAATAAGGAAAGTCTCAATTTTTAAAATTAATCCTTATGAGCTTCTGGTCTCTATCTTATCTCAGAAACACAAAGAAATTAGGAGTGTACCATTATTTGGAGTTACCATTTTTTTAAAAGTTCATGCTCTCTACTGTATTTTCATGCAGAAACTAGAAAATCTAGCAGTATTACTTTTTAATTGATCAAAAATCACTCAAGCATATTTCAAGAGGAAATTACTAGGTGGTATATTCATGACAGTGCAAGAGTTGCCTTTTCCATATTAGTGCTTGCCAGTTCAAACAGAACACACCAATAAGAGTTACATACACTTCTGCTTTTTACCAGTAAATCTCAAAACACTGTTAAATGCGGTCCACATCAATATTCTTTTCTTTAATAGATGAGGTACAGACTTACTTTTTCTTTTCCAGAAGGAAATAGAAAACTTGATAATAACTGGAAAAGAATACCTTAAACTAGGTA